GCATAGACATGGTAGCGAAGGCGCGCAAGACCTGAACGCTCATGTTTCCGCTAGACGAAGGTCCCCTGCGTTTGAGCGGCCGGTGCCGGAGCAAGCTTGCCAGAGTCTGTTTTGGCAACCGAAATGTTGACGGTTCGGAATGGGCAGCTTCTCACGTAGCAAAGCGTACCCCCAACAACAAGCAACCAAGATTTTGGTTCCATTGAAGCAACAAGGACGCCTAAATAAAGCTATCGTACACGAACATCATATATACCGTAGAAGATTCAGCCGTCATGTACCGACTCCCAACCCACGCACACGCCTCATGCGGCCTGAAAACCCAGCTGTCATATACCGATCTCCTCATGCGGCCTGAAAACCCAACCCACTTCTCGTCTCTAAAGGGTTGAATGCAGGCCCCGACCCCCGACTGCTCGGCGGCTCCAAGGCTTCGGCTGGGTACGATGGAGACGAAGGGCGCGACAACGACGACCGCGGTGAGCCGAGCTTGCGCGAGTCAACGGCAATGGCCAATAGCGTAGAATTAGAGTTCGTTGAGAGGCAACCCCGGCATGCCGCCGTCTGATTGACGTACTAGCCGGGGACACGTTTGTTGCGAGGTATTGGTTGATGTGTGAAGCACGCCGGAGTATGGCCGAACCCTGGACAGAGGAGGACGGCCAGATCAGCAACAAATGGCGTTGGTCGAACATAAAATTAGCACGGCAGGGGCTGGACACCGAGGTCAAGATAAAGCAATGGCCAAGGAGCCAGACGTCGAAAGTTTTTTTTTTCCTCGCCTGGGTGTGTGTGCCACAAGTACTGCAGTTTTGACTTTTTTACTGTTTCAAAATCCTCGCTGTCATCTTGCCTCTTCCGCAGACTTCGACGGTGGCCATGGTCAAAGACTCAGCGCGTCCGTTTCCGACAATGCACTACCGTCGAGCTTAAGATCACGTGGGGGAACAGGGCCCGATGGCGGCGACGATCAAGGAGGAGTCCCGCCGATTTTTGCGGGGGAAGACGTCGGCTCTTCCTCGATCCCAGGGGGAGGGAGTGGATTAAAGCCGCATGCCTTGATACCAAGGGTGAGCGGAGACATTCTGTCGGTCCTCGGGCTCGAGTTGCAGGGATCGGATGCCGGCACTATTCATGCCTTGAGCTGTAGTTTGCAAAATGCTTTCCCGCGGGCTGAATGGGGTGGAAGTTTCGTGCTTGCAGACCTGGCTCGTCACTCCCTGGCAGATTTGCTCCGTTCGCAACTGGCCGAGTTTCGTCAACGGAATGGTCAGTCCGAGCATGATAGAGCTAACCTATTAGGCTATGTTGTACCCAACATTCATGGGGAGCAACTATTCATCGCGGTCGGAATGATTCGCACGCAGAATAATCGAAAACAAGAATCTTACCCGGCTGCCGCCTCCTACACAGAACGAAACATAGCGGGATGACAGCCGCCACTCCACAAGTAGAGTTGCTGCTAACCCAGCCAGCACACTGCAACCGACCACCCCTCTCTCACTGGTCTCCTTCTCTTTCGACTCCCGCTCACCCGTCTACGCCTTCACGTCAGGGCGCCCGGCCGGCTTCTCACGCGAGCGGTGTCACGAGGGCTCGCGTATCATCACCCGGATTGGGTGTCCGAGGCGAGAAACGAGGGGGGAGGGCCGGTGCCGCATGGTAACCACGAACATAGCTGCACTGAGCTCATTTATACATGTTGCCTACATGTTGCCTTGTTATCGAAGCTTTGGCAGGGGGTCTGCGTCCAAAACAACGTTGTGTACTGGCGTCTTAGGTTGCTGCCTGACCATTGGAAACACCTCGGTATGGAAGGTTTGAGAAGGAGGGGGGTCGCGTCGTTGACACTGTACCTTCGTACTTTGGGTGATGCAATGCCGGCCTCTCCTATGAACCCTATCTATGGTGCCCGTGTTAAGAATGATTCCCGTAACGCATCAAGAAACCACAGAAGCAACGGGTGTAGCGTCCTGCGGGTTTTGTGCCAAGAGGGTGTAGTAGGCGGTCCGAGCTCCATTGGGGAACAGGACCAATACCGCATGCGGCCTGTCGTGTGGTTTGTGGTGCTTGCGTGCCTCACAGGGGTTTCCAGATCGACCCCATCCTGCTGCCTCTAAGGTATCAATGTGGCGTTATATCTTATATACTGTGGGCATTGGTTCGCCAGTTTCAACGTGTCGAAAGTGACGTTCAAGAGTGAATTAACGTTACAGTAACGGTGCAACCAAGAATGGGAGAACCGCTTCCTAGAGTGACTTTCAAAGGCTTTCGGCGTCCACAACAGTGCTTCTTACGCTTCGCCAACTTCAAGTGCTTTGGTCGAGGACGACGTCGAGCTCCCAAGAACGTGTGCCGCGCTAGCTTCTTGCTTTGTCGCTTCCTAGGAAAAACTTGCTTTCTATTGTGAATCAATCAAGGGTAAATAACGGTAATGTCTCAGCACCACATGTGCTCCGAATATATACTCGGGCATTGAGCTCGATATATGTTGCAATACCGGGGTCAAGAATGAACGCGAGCGAGAGCGCGCGTCAAGTGGAGGAATCCCACCTGGCCTCTGGCAACACGAAGGCTGGTATGTACCGAAGGAATGCTGTGCTCGAGCATTTTACTGGTCGGCAAACCTTCCCCAACTGATGGAAAATTCAGGTTTCAGCTGCCACAAACAGATGAGCACTATCCGTTTTCGTGACAGACGAGTAGTCTTTGAACGTTGTCAAAACTACAATGCAAATTCACTCTAAACCGATAAAGCCAACAGTGACACTTCAAGAAACAATTGTATTTTTACGAAGCACCCCCTGATTCGGACAATACAGCGAGGGGAAGACGCATGCATCGTCGCCTTCCAGCCCTGTGATGACATCTAAAACAATAAAACAGCCTGGACGTTTTTGTTATCGGTTCTGCTCAAAACACCACGAAATTTTCAAAAAAATAAACAAACCATCACGTCTCGTCCGGACGTTTTTCCTTGGCTGCGTGCCAAACCCAACTCGAGACCTAGCCCCTATCGACTTGGCCATGCACAGAGTCTCCCACTACCGTCGCTGCAGTTGAGGGAAGAAGTTTCGAGAAGCGAGCCTAACCTGTGCCGGCTGTACGGGCGAACCCGTGGGAAGCAGGAGGCTGCATGGGTGTCATCCGCGACGACTGATAGAGAAGTGATCGCCAAGAGCACCTACCCTGCCAGTGGACCTCCAGAGTTTTGAATACCCTAGGAAAGCGTTGGTAAGGAAGATAGCAAACGGTTGAGACACATCATTCTACCTTGGAAAAGCTTACCACGACCAAGCAGATGGCGTTCAGAAGTCAACAAACAAAGGCGGCCAAGCATCTCAACGTCCGACCGTATGACAAGAGCCACGAGTAGGCACGTTTCAAAGCAGCTGAACCTGAGTCAACCAATAAATTACACCAACGGAGATCAGGACTGGTCGAGGCAGGCGTTCACAGTAGCTGAATCAGGTTCAACCAAAAAAATACATCTACGGAGATCAGGACTCATCAAAGCAAGCGTTCAAATTAGCTGAACCTGGATCATCCAATACAATACATCTACGGAGATCAGGACTGATCGAGGCAAGCGTTCGCTGGATGAGTAACTACCCGGGGTGCCATGGCCCTTTCTCCGAGATTGAAGGCGCCGTACCCAGCGGACGATTTCGCCGAAGTGTTGCCAGCCGTGGCCACCGTGCTCGCGCGCCCGCCCTCTGAGCGTTGTTCCACCGATTTTTTTCGGGGGGTGTTTGTGTCCGTCTGGGTTCTGCAGGAAAGTAGGCGGTTTGGGTGAACACGGTTTCGGGATGAAATTCTTCTCTCTCACTATTTTTTTTCTCTCTCCGTATTTTTTGCTCCTTCTTGATTGATGACCCACCTCACCTGCTTGCGCGCAGGAGCTCTTTGTGGCCCTGGCTCTACTGTATCGCACACATGGCAGGGATTCCGGCGAGTCACAGTCGCAAAAAATAACTAGTTAGTTGGTGCATTTTCTCACACGAGGCAATCTTCGTCAAGAGATTGGCTGCCTCGCCTATGCTTTGGACGCCACCTGTCGACCTCCCGCAGCAAGCCTTCCGCGTCGTGCATTCGCCTTCGAAGGACTTCCAGCTCTGCCAGCAGGCGTGTTCGCCTCATCTCGACAGGTTCGTCGCCCGATACCGACGTGCCGCGACCACTGTTGCACGTGGAAGACCCGCTGAAGCCGGTTGGTTGTCGCATCAAGACGATCGCGAGGCGTAGGCTTGAGAAGTAGATAGAGACTACAGGTTAGGGTTAACGCTAGAGGCACCGCTGTTGAACTTGGAGCAACAACAACGTGATGATCGCCAAGAACATTTTCCTACGATGCCGAGCTACGTATGCCTTGCACCTTCGAGCTTAGCGTTTCACAATCTCTGAGACATTTGCCGCCCTTGAGTAATGTAACTCGTGTTGTATTCCGAGTCCGGAGGTAAGAAAAAAAAATCTATCCTCGCATACCCCGCTTTGACGTTGGGGTTACGCACAAACAAGTCCTAGACCGACCGCTTGCTCTCACCGTCGTGACGAAGGGCAGCGGGAAGAGCGACTAGTCGCCGTAGACGTCCGTGCAGTCCGCGAAGTATATATAGGACTGGTTTCTCTAGAGGAGCCGCTCGCCGAACGTGACTTGGCAGTATTAATTGACCCGCGTGATGGGCACGACACACTCTCGACGGCATCACGTTTCCTGGTGCTGACAACGTTCGCGCGAGCAGGGGTACCTCCCACCGCTTGCTTCGAAAGTGCCCCGGCACCGTGTACAATCCGGCGTCCTCCTATCCTCTCAACGGCAGCAACAGCCCGAGCAAATTCAGTTCTAGACAGCTCCCTGCCTCGAAAGGATTGGTACAGCGGGTGGCGTACGCAAAGGCAGTGTTCTTGATCTGTGTAGGTCGGAAATCGTCCCTCGTCTTACGTGCGACAGATGGCCATGTAAAACACGCTTGCACCTACCTCTGTATCAGACTCTCTTTTCACCTTCTGGCGTCCCTTCTCAAACCACGGGAACCGCACCAATCGGCATGGCTCTTGCTGTCGCCCTCGCTCCCTCCCCTTCCAATAGTCCGTTCGGCCGGCCCACCGGCTCTTCGTGCAGAGGAGCACTTTCTTGACCCTCCTACTCCACCTCCCCGGTCGCTGGCGCCCCCGCCAACATTGTTTTCTGTTGTAGTTGTCGCTGCTCCCTTGGTCCCTGGTGCTTTGCGCGGCCGACGGCGAGCAGGAGCTGCGGCCGGCATTTCTCTACTGTTGGTCCCAGTTCTTCCCAGGAAGGCCCGTCGAAGCATCTTCTCGGCCCTTTCGGCACGGACAGCGGCTGCGGCAAGCGGGTCCCATGCCTGCACCGCCGCCAAGCGACGACCCTTGAAGGCCCGGTGGATAACGCCGACGGGCATGAGTCGAGTCTCCGCTGCAACGTCTTCCGCACTGGAAAACTTGGCACCAGCGGCTGCGTTGACGGAGGCGGCAGCAGCGTTAGCGCTTTTGGGTCTTTGGTCGCCCTTTGTCCGCACGGTGAAGGAGCCGTCGCCTTTGGGTCGAAGGTCGTACTCAGGCAAGGCGCGCGCGCTATTCAAGACGCTTGCGGTGAATGACCCTCGTTCCGTAGAGTAACAGGCGTTTGCTGTGTCACGCCATGCTGGATCGTCCTTCCCATCGGGGCTACGTCCAGGAGAAGCTCCACCGTCACCGCAAGGACGCCTGGTACCACGGTCAAGCCCACGACTGTGGACACCTCGACGCGCAATGGTGGCCGAGCTGCTATTCACACCTTGCCGCGCATTTCTTGCTCTCGCCCCTTGCTCCAGGACTCTCGCAGATGCTGGACGAGGAGGCAGTAAGGCGAACGGTGATGCTACACCACGGTGCGCTACGTCCTTGGCCCGGGGTGCTGTGATAGTTGGACCAACTTGAAGCGGAACATCTCCCACCGTTTCGGCCCACTCGGTGCTGGTATCGGGGTTTCCGGAGCTGAGCATTACGACTCCGAGTGAGCGAGGTTGGTGTCCCCTTGTGCAAGCAGACCGAGGGCGGCCGCATCGGTGCTGCCGAGCTGTGGGCGACGGACAACCCAACTTACCCGAGGACGCTGCCCTTGCGCCAAGGTTTCCTTCAGCGAGGTCCTTCGCTGGCAAAAGATCGTCATCACCGTTGGCAATACCGTGGTTTCTGGGATGGGAGTCAGCGTCTTGGTCGTGGCGCCTAGCAGAAGGTGACAACGGCCGTGGAGGTGACCATGCCGGGGTGCGCAAGCCCGTACGGTCTCCCACAGCTTTGCCGCTGCTCACGTGCTTCACGCCTGGGTTGTCGCCAGGCCAATCTGAAGCTCTTCCCGCGGCCGTAGCACCGCGGGTCCCTGCATGTGGAAGCGGGGCCGAGGCGCCCATTACAACGGCTTCTTTTTCAGTGTTGTGGCCACTGATGGTCTGGTGTTCTTCGGTGCAGTTGGGAATCCCTGATTCTGCCGCCGGCGCTGCTTTCGGACCAGCCTCAGAAGGGCAGGACGAACGCGGGGTTTCTTCTGCAGCAATGGTATTCCGTGTTCGTTTGTGCTTGAGTCGTCCCATGGAAGCCAGGAACATGATCCGCTCTCCGGAGCGGATGTGGTCTCGGAAAGCGGCCTGCGGAAATGATGTACAACCGGTATCAAGATCAACAGCAGCAAAGGGGGGGACTTGGTGTAAATCGTAGCGTGGGAAGCCTTGGAAAGGTTGAAAAGCAAAACATGCATGGGCTTAACGATCCTTCTAATCGTTGTTACTTGTACGTGTATGCCATGGTGCAGCAGAGGATGCAGAGGATGCAGCGGTGCAGCCGACGCGAGAATGAATAGGTGTTCGCATAGAGGAACCTCGGTGACTGTCAACAACGATTGCGCCACACCCAGAGCAGAGGCAAACAGCACTGTGTCTGGGGTTTGCTGGCCAGCGGACTCATGGTGACTACAAGTACGTACGTGGTAAACCCCCATATCGTTGTGTGGCAGTGAACGTCTTCGTCATCCTGTACAATACTACGTTGTACTGCGCGAGTGATGGTCTCAAAGCTCGTGGCAAACATGATGGTCGTAGGGGCCACCGTTGGAAAAGCACAGCAGGTTGAAAATGTCATTGGAATTTTGTGTGTAGGTCGTTGACTCATGGTCTTGCAGTTGGATACACCTTTCAGGCGATAAATCACCAGTACGGTACCTCTAGCGCCGGTTCATGGCTCATGTGTTTTGAAACAACATGCAGCTACACAGCATCGGGACGCCCCCCTGCGGCTTCAAAGAATTGTCGAGCCCGACACTGCCGAAACAGAGCAGCACGTGGTCATGCATACGGTCCTCTTTGCTGTATGAAAGCCATGATGCGCTGTGCTCGTGGGGAAAGCTACTGCTTGGCCAAAGGATTGTATGCACACGATTGGTCTGCATGGTCATCTTTCCTGCTGGAACGCGTCCATCGTGATGTGTCCATCGCCCAAGTCCTTGCCAATCTGGCCAAACTTTCCGCGAAGCATGGCTATCACACCACCTGGAGCCAGCAGCAGCCAGAGGGAGCGCGAGTCGTGCCACCGTTGTTTGTGTCCAGGCAGCCCATTCTGACAACACTCGTCGAGAGTCACTTACCGGCCCGGGGAAGCTATTCTGTATAAGAACAGTCCACACGAACGGACACAAACTAAAGCTGAACCCGCCGCACTTTTTGAATTGGTTAGACTAGAGAGAGAGGAGAGAGCGCAAGGGCACCCCTCGCACCCCGGAGGTAGATAGGCGAGAGGCGACAGACACATAAAACACTGCCCAGCCACTGTTCCCGTTTTGGTTTCTGAAAGAGGTGGTGAACGCCATGGACCCAACCGTGTATAAACCAGAAGAGGACGTCAACCGAGTGGCTTGCCTGGATGCGTTTCTCCAGGTATGGGAGTGCCCTAGTTCTGGAGATGGTATGCATATGACGGAAGTAAGCACCCCCCTTCACCCCTACCGGCTGAGGACACACCCGCCTCCTACGTAACAGCTAGGAGAAGTCAATGGCAACACCATCAACTAGGAACATGCTGCGAAAGATATTTGATCGCCATCCGAGGTCTGGTGTCTAAACAGAAGCAATTGACACCCGAAGTGCCCCTTCAATACAGCAGTGTAGGCTATCGCACTTCACTATGAAAGGGCATATCAACCCGCTCTCAATAACCCGCCCAATCGTTTTCACGCTGGAACGAATCCTTCGGACGTAATGTAACCCCATAACTTTCATTAACATTGTGCTTCCTCCAACCAGCGTGCAGGGAAGATGGAGATGCCAAGTATAGTTGTCATATCGTTTACGGACGCGAGAGGCCTGGCTTAGTTCAGCTTGTGAGACGGCCAGAGCAGGCATCGCCCATTGAGGCAAAACAGCAGGGCAAAGGTTGAGAAAAAAACAAAGAGTTCGCCTGTCTGTCATATGATTCTTGCTAATCAAAGAATATCTTGAGGGGTTCTGAGTTGTTGCTTGGCCCACCTTGTAGGCCCGGGCGATTTCTGGCTATGCTCTATGGCACACTCCACAACCAAGAGGACGCCGAATCAAACGAGATATCTACATACGTGATGACGGCGACTCCAACACCATTATTTTCGGCACCGTCTCGGCACCGCCACTGACAGTTGTGCTTTTGTTGCAGAGCAATCGAGCTTTGAAATTCGGCCCAGGTTGTGCGGTATCTTACGCAACCTACGGTGTGTCCCAGGCGTCATCCGGAACGAGCGGTGATCCCGACGAGCGAGAACAACAACCTGTTCTAGGCATCGGCCTGTCGTGATGCGATACATCATCCGATAACACGACCAGAGTATCGACGAGACGTGTTACGGCCGGGACCAGGGTTCAGTCCGAAAAACCACTGTATAGCACCAACCTTGATGATCTCTGTTCTGAGGGGGACACGTTTTCCGATGGTACTGTAGTGCCCAACACACGGTTTGTAAGCAACTGGCGGTGTTGTTTCGGTAGTGGCCGGAGCTACTGCTGTTTCGTTGGTCTGCAGTAACATGTCAATCAATTCTCGTGAACAATTGGGGGATACATACACCGTCTCACTGACCCCACTCCACCCCACCCTAAAACAAATAACAGCGCTTCTCCGGCGGCGGTGGCTCCGGCTCCGACTCAAGCAACGGTTTCACCCAGCGGCTGACACCGGGAAACAACGCCTCTTTCACACCAACAACTCCGAGAAGTTCCGCTCGAAACGGCACTCCCAGTGGCGTTAGGGATGATGGGGCGCTGGCCGTGGGCGAAGAAGGAAGTGACGGCGGCGACCTTCGGGCCATGACCAGCGGTATCGCCGCGGGGGACAGCGGCGGCGACGGCAGCGGCGGCGGAGGCATCGATAGCGGTAGCGGTAGCGTTAGCCGTGGCGGTGTCGGAGTGGCTGGCTCTCCAGGGATTGCTGGGAGCCGAGATGCGACCGCAGCAGCAGCAGCAGCAGAAGCGGCTGCCGCGGCGGCCGCAGTTGCGGCAGCAGCGCAGGCCGAGATCTTGAAAGTGCTGGACTTCTTGTTTTGCTCGGATCGTCCGTTGGTGGAAAGCACCATCCAGGCAAGAAGGCAACACTTACCACGGGAAACGTGGGACTAGAATACAAGCACAGAGCGAAAGACGTGCGAAAATTGCGCCAACTTCAGGTAAAAGCATGAAGGACAACAGTTAAAGAGAGTCGTGCTCTTTGAAACTTAGAATGGCACTGTACGATCCCTTGAACAACCACTCGTGTGGACAATGCTTCCGCCCGAGGTATTTACTGTTTTGGCCTGCGGGTTGTGTTCTGGTGCACAATTCCGACACAGGTGCTGGATAAGTCTCGAGTGGTGAAGGTGGTGGCGAGAAATACGGGCAGAAGCGTGTGGCTCGTTCAAGGAAGCCGGGGGGCTCCGTACCTGTGCCTCAGGGAGTACTGCTCCTGCAGGTGATGCTCTTCTCAATGTACTCCAGGCGGACCGCGGGTGATTCTTTCCATTCCCGGCAAAGACCGGAGGACATACCCTGGTGTATTTTTTGTGAAATGGTATTACGACGAGCCTTTTGCAGTGTTTCGTTTCCGAAGCGTAGGAGCTATGCCCGCGCGGGATCGACAGAATCTGTCTTGTGGTAGACATATCGCCACTGTTTTCCTGGAGTCGCTGAACTGCTGACTCCGTGACTACCGCTCGTTGTTGTTGGACGAACTTTTGGTACGTCCATAATAAAACATGAACTTGGTTGTTTCTGGTGAAGCAGTTCGTTTCTTGTTGGCAAGGCATGCAGGGGGGGAAAGCGGGGGGCGGGGCGTACTCATTTGTTGCTTGCCGTAGTCATTTGACCATTGACCACGCATCCCTACAAAGCCGGGACGGAGCACACCGGGTTCTCACCGGACCAGACTCTCACATCACCAAGCGCGAAGCGCCGTGAGATATTCGGCGAGTCGCATGAAGGGTGCGCTGCATCCTGGTAAGGGTGTTCGGCCTCTTGTGCTTACTTCCTTGCGTACGGATGACAGCTGCGTATGACTTGATTTATTTTCTGGTGCTTTCACTTCCAGAGACAGTTGTAAGCCTTGTGTCACTGCCTCGAGGGTGCTTGACCAATTTAACACAACGTGGTGCGATCATCCCCCTAGTGCGGAGTGAGGCATCTCCACCCCGCACAACATGATCTACTCGACCACCATTATGGTTACCGCCAAAAAAGAAGCAGAGGTAAAAAAAAACCGGTAACCTGGTTGCCGAGTTTACGAAGTGACTTGGCTTGTTTTACAACGTCGTTGCCAAGCGACGAAAACCCAATCCCGATGGCAAACACCGGGGGGGGCGGCTTGTTTTACAACGTCGTTGCCAAGCGACGAAAACCCAACCCCGATGGCAAACACCGGGGGGGGCGGCTTGTTTTGCAACGTCGTTGCCAAGCGACGAAAACCCGACCCCGATGGCAAACACCGGGGGCGGCGGCTTGTTTTACAACGTCGCTGCCAAGCGACGGAAACCCAATCCCGATGACAAACACCGAGGGGGCGAAGGAGTGGAGAGGGGGAATGCGTATGGGGACGTTTCATCTGCCTCAGAGAACACTGGCACATACCGACTGGCGAATGAGGGAAGAGTGGTCTTTGTCGGACGTCCGTCAAACGCCCTCTGACATACGTTTCGCTGCCTGTCCTTGACTCCACCGTCAGCGCCATCCTTGGCGCAGTACATCCCCCCGTCGCCTGCTCATCTTCTCTCTCTCTCTCTCTCTCTCTCGCTCTCTCTCTCTCTTATTTGTGTGTGTCTCCACTTGCCCGCGACGGCTTGGTTGCCGCGGTGCGCTGTCGTCGTTACGGAAATTCCTGGACCCTTCGTTCTCCGTGATTCCGGGGACAATTGACCGAACCGAACCGAACCGGAACAACGCACGATGTCACGTCGAAGCAGGAGTTTTCAAGAGCTTGTCAGAAGGGGCGCGCCGCATCCCGTGCTGGTGAGTGTACGGGGCACGAGGAAAAACAATAGGAGAGATGGAGGGGGGTGTGCTGGGTGGAGTTCAGTGCTCGAGGCTTTAGCTACTACTGCATACGGGAGGCCCTTTCCTACGCCGCTTTTGACGGTCGTGTTTGATTTGACGGTCGGTTGAGGTGCTTCTTCTTGGTCCAGCTGAGCAGCATCATTGATCGCAGATGAAGTTTGGTTGGAGTCGTGTGGACAGGTCGTCTCGTCCATTCAGTGCTTGGTCGTGGTGAGAGGACTTGCTACAGTACCACGCCGTCTGTTGATGCCTGCTGCTGCTGCTGCTGCTGCTGCTGCTGCTGCTGCTGCTGCTGCTGCTGCTGCTGCTGCTGCTGCCGAGGTGGAGGCCCTCCAGAGCTCGTCCTCAGAACCTCACAAACCAAACGATCCGGCTGTTTTCAAACCAAACGATCCGGCTGTTTTGTCCTTTGACTTACGTTCCGCACAGTGTCATATTTCAACCCCCTATCACCCCCCCCCACGCTCGCTATTCGTTCGCGTGCTTCTCGCTTACGCGTGGCCACAAAATGTTGTTCATGTGGTGATTTTTTCTGGGCGCACGCATCTGCGGTCCAGTGTAAGCATTTGTTGGCCGTACGCCTGGCACCCGCGTTGGGACTGTCGATATCGGAACAGGTGGACGACGACAAGTTGGCTATGCGAATATCCTCCTGCGATTACGGTGGTTGAGAGACTTGTGCTGGGAATTTGGGGATCGTTCGGCGGATGTGTGGGTATTGATGTGGGCTATGTTATCATTTAATATTGAATCAAGTACTGTTTCCGCGTTTGGTCTGCAAGTTTGGTAGGGTGTTCCAGTTGTTTGCTGGATGTCGTTGTACACGTAAGATTTTCACAAGACCCCCCGCTTCCAGTGACTATCATTCCGGCTATCTAGAAACTGTTCTGTGGATTCGGTGCGTTGTTGCACCGTCGTGCCTAAACCTTGCGAGGAGCCGAGCTGTGTAGTCCAAGCGATGGTGCTCGTGTGGGAGGTTCGGTAGAGTTGCGAGATATCGGACAGTGCTTCTCGGTGCGTTTGAGTGTTGACGCTGGGGTTGTGTGAGTTGTGAGCGCCACGGTTTGTGTCTAGGATGCGGGCAAGTCTGTAGAACGTATCGTTTGATGATTTCGGTGACGATAACTTGTGCCTCTTTTCTGCATCCGAGTTTCTGATCTTAGACTCGATGGGTATTCTCGTGCTTGTGCATCGAGATTCTTGTGCGAAACGCCTGCGCAGACAATTGCTTTGCCCCGTCTGTGTCGACAAGCCCGTGCTTTTGCACTTGTCAAACTCTTTTCTTGAGCTGTGGGTGGAAACCTGGATGTGCACACTGAGAATGAAGGCACACAGACGGTTCGATCGTCCGTGTTCGCTGGTGACAAAAGGTGGCCCGTGTACTGACTGTTTTACTCGTGTACCCCTTTTTGCCATTGGACCGTGAAACCATCTCTTCGCCGACACTATGCCGGTAGCGCGAAGTGCTAGCTACAGATCTCGCCTAGGGGGCAAACGGAAGACAACATTTTTGTGCCCGTCAAAGCTTCAGAATGTGTTGCCTGCGCAGCTTTAACGTGTTCTTATCGGGGGGAAGATATCCAGGCTAGACTAACGAGAAGAACACGGGGTTGATATCCGGGCAGGACAACCCGAACCAGCCAAAGGTCCGTGTCGATCCTACTACGTACAGAACATTTCCTCTGTTTCACTACGCGCCCGCGATGGCCTCTCCAATGCTTCAACGCAGTACATGCAGCACACGTTTGTTTGCCGTCGTTTTGTCATTGAAGAGGCATACCAACGAGTGACTAGAAACGCTTGTTGCCGCAAAGAGAATAACAGCACCGCGGGGCGAATTGCCCTAGAGGCAACTTGAGGAGTAATTGCCAGCCCGCTGACTGGACATCAACAAGAACCCCCCTTAGCACGCCGTAGACCTGGGTAAGGTTAGGTTGTAAGGTTGTGCCCTTCCGTCATGTCATCGCCCGGCTTCCGAAACTATCATCCCTTCGTTCGAAAGTGAGAGACGCGTCAGCGGTGCTACAGCAGCTGGTATACGTTTAGCAGTCTGGTATGTATGCGTTTGGCTCACAATCAGGACACACATGCGAGCCCGATATTCTTGGGCGTGGAGTCACCGGGAAACACGCTACTGCTGCCGGGCGGCTCGTACCATGCCCCCTTAAAACAAAGGAGGCGTCGCTTATGTTCAAATGGAATGGCGTCGTCAGAGGAAAGGACAACTTGGAGCTTGCCATTCCAAACACACTTTTTTGCTATTCTAGGCAGCGGCCACTGCACTCAGCTGGGGTCGTTCACGCTCTCTGGTCGTGTCCCTTGGGCGCCACACGTTTTGTATTCAGCTGTTAAACCCGCAAGACAACATCATCGAGAAAACGTTTGTTCTCTTCTCAGGGTGCGTCATCGCGTCGTACGAGTCGCGATACATATCGAGGTTCAAAATGAAATGTACAGGTGCCGTCTGCAAACATGGGCGTCAATCAAACCTACTGTAAGCTCCTGGGGTCAAACCAGACTTATGAGCATGTTTTACGAAAAAGGTGGGAAATTTTTGCTTTGGCCTCATCACACAAGCCGGACAGCACGATTCAAAATTGATTTATGAAAGTAGAGGGAGTTTTGGATCCCTATCCAGTACGCTAACCCTAACCCCATTACTACTAAGACCAAGCTATATATCTCCTACTACTAAGACCAAGCTATATATCTCCTACTACTAAGACCAAGCTACACATCTTTGCGAAGGCTACTGGACGGCACCCTCCTGCCGATAGCGAACGCCTTTTACGACTTACGCTTTGATGGTGACGCCCGCTGTCCACGACACCTTTGGATCGCCCTCAAGGCATGCAAGACAACACCCCACCCCGGTGATTTCCACTCGGCCTGCCCTTGGGCGAGACTCAAAACCACACCATAATTCAAGCCATCAGACCGATCGTCTGATGGCACGGTATGCTGTGGTGTGGTATGGTATGGTATGGTATGGGTGTTGCGCCCCATGTGAGGGTGGGCCAAATTCCATCCCGCCCCTAACACAATCATTCAAGGACGGCAGCCCGACAATTACGGCAATGCCACAGACAAAGATAGGATCTCGGCAACCAAAACAGTGCCACCAACCCTCGCCGATCCCGGCGACGGTGGGGACTTAACCGCCCTGGCTCGCAAAACAACGTCCGATGGTAAGACTTGAGTTCCTATGTTTTTACTTAAGGTCGCACCCAGAATCCCCACACACTCCTCGCCCTCCTGGCGGAGAAAGATCACCATTGCTGCAGCTCGCTGGACACCCCTCACAGAGATCCAGGCTATGGAGGAGGAAAGCAACAGTTCATGCTAGTCGACGAAAGCGCCGCGTCTCGGCCTTTCGGTCAGGTAGGGAGGCCCAGGCGTGGCAAAACTCGATACGATGTACTCCCCGGGTGAGGTTCGACTCATCCACCTCACCCATGCTAGCGCAAAGGTGTACAGGTACACCCCACACCACAGTGCGAACGATCACCACGCGAGCTTCACAAAAGCAACACATACACAACTCCAACTCTTCCGGACAAACCACATCCACATCCGGCGAGAGGGGACAGTTACGCGAAACGGGACCCCTTCTGGTTCAACTGTTACCCCGCCTTACTTGCTCGTGCAGCTGAATAAAAACAAAAAAAACAATGCCACCTAAGAAGCTCCACTATCGTACCAAAAGAACATCTCATTCATCACAGGAGGGACAGAGGGGTCCTGGAGCTTGCTCTCAATCGTCCCCCCAAGACCCCGCGAAGGTGGCCGACGCCACGGATGGCCACGCCGGTAGCGCCTCCTCATTGACACCACGGGCCCCCCTTGTCGCAGGAGACGCCGACGAGGCATTTTTATCTTCGGTTTCCTGGTGATGGCTGCGCCATCGACGCCCGCCCCACGCGATGCTGCCCAAAGATCCCTCTGACGAGCCCCTCGTGGCAGCGTTGCCATATTCATCGCCGCCGCTGTTGCCCGTGCTGTTGTTGCTGCTGTGGCTGCTGTGGCTGGTGGCGGTGCGACCGCCGTTGCTGTTCGTCGGGTGCAGGGAGGGCCACGCGGCATCTGCCCCGAGTGCCATGTCGTGCAAGTCATCGCTCCCGCTGCCGCCACTGCTGCTGCCTCTTTGAGCCTGATCATCCTGTGTCTGTGTGGGTCGCCGGCTGGGCCACGCGACATCCGCCCCAAACGCCGCGGTGTGCATGCTCGCAACGGAGCCTTGGATGCCTCCACCGCTGCCCCCCCCCTTGTTTCTCGCGACACCGGAAATAACAGACGACACGTCACCACCAGAATCGCACGACAAGTTGCCGTCGTCCTCGACCGCTATCACACCAGTCTTGTCGCCAGCCGCCCTGATCTCCGCTACTATGCCCTCGTCAGGGATTGCGCCGGAGCCCTGCATGTCCTCCACGAGCGCGGCCGCGCGGCCCCACTCCCCCGCCCCCGCGCACGCCTTCAGGGCGACGTTGTACGCCGCCGACCCGGGAGCAACGCCTCCCTTCCGCATATTTCCGAGACAGATGAGCGCGCTCTTCCATCCCTGGTCACAGGCGACGGCCATACAATGGTTGTCACACAAGCAGGGGCAGAGTGCTGGGCAGGGTTGGAGAGGACTTCCGGGAGGCAACTGAGAGCGCACGGCATCCGAGTCCTTAGAGGGCATCGAGGCGATGGAACCTTGTTCCACGAAACGTAGGGGTCTTGAAAGGTGAAAAGTTGGTGGTGATCATTATATTTCATGTTCATTGTTTGCAGGTTCAGATGTTTTGAACGAACTCGCTACCCAAAATCTCAAGGGGGACATAAATGTTGTGTGCATGAACACCAGAACGTAGGCGGTGTGCCAATTGTATTTGGTTTTATATCCCCTCGCACGTTGGACGTTGTCGTCGACACGCATCGGACGTTCGGCCCACAAAAAATGACCATGACGTCATACAAAAACGAACGCCACCCGGTCGTCAGAATTTCTAGCCACGCTCTATGTATAATAGCTGCACAACCGTAACGAGCCACAAAGGCCGGTTAGCGCCGAGAGCCGGCCCGTCGTGCACAAAAAATACGATATTATTTGTTATCGTCGAAATCATACGCGCGGAACGAATCGCTGTGGCAATGGGAGAACACGAAGTCAGACCGAGAGGTGGAGCCAGCGTATGCGCATCTCTTGCTCCACAGCCATGAGGTGCACTAAAATATCATAGTCCCTTCTTCCGTCGGGATGCGAGCGGATCGGGTACGAGCTAATTGTTTTCTTTCTTGCGCCGCTGCCGCTGACTCTTCGGTCCGTACGGCGTCATGTGGGAGGCCGGCCTTTAGAGCACTTGGCAAATCTCGACTTGGTTGCCGACGTCAGATACAGATCAACTACTGAAGATAAAAAACGTGAACCACAGAATCGTATCTACTGTTTGCTAGACCTGGTCAAGTTTGTCGTAGGACTACGACGCGGGCGAAAAATAGAAAACATCAGTGGACCCCATGAGATGATACACCAGGCAGGCTCAAAGTCTTCCGTCCAAAGAAGACCGGAGCACTCTCTAGGGGGTGATATCTACCGTAGACCAACTACATAGAAGTACAGCGAATCGTACGCACCTTGTCGGCGCACTTCTGCACCTCCGCGGCCCGCCTTAGCTCCATCGCCGCTGTCGGCCGCCTGGCATCAACGCCGTCCCTCTTCCTCCTGTCTACGGTCGATGCGAGCGAGAGGCCTCCCATACACCGTCGCCCACCAACCTGCTGAACGTCCACCTTGGCCATGTCAAGAGATTTCAAGGAATGTCAAGGAATGCTAAGGGATATCATGTAATGACAAGGCAGAGAGAATAGAAGAGGTCCTTGCTTTGGCCGGTTCACCTTAGTGCCGGTACAACGCCGGTCATATCTCTGGGCACAATCCGGTCAACCACAACGCACAACTGGTACCTCGACTGCTGGATGCGAACAGGGCACAGTAGTGCCATACACAGATTGATGAGCCGCATCAACTAACGTGTGCCATGCATTGATTGCTGAGCCATCCGTCGCCGTCGCCTACAGTACACTGCTGTGAGGCTGACGGACGGAAAATACGCCAGGTCTTCCGTCGAGGGCAGGGGTACCGCAATAGTAGTAGTACGTCAAGCATCATCGCTCGCACACGGCACCTCGCTCGTCCATCAACAGCGGTCTATGCAAATGCTACGTAGGCATAAATTACCAGAAGTGACATGACACAAGATACCACACACCCCTGGACAATGAATACAACGTTTTAGACCGTTAGGTTGACGTAGTTTATTTTTTCTTTTCGTTGGGTGCATTTGTAATCCGCCAATTAGTTTTTTTTATTTTTTCTTTGAAAGGTTAGTACCGCCCCCTTGGGTGGGGCAGTTGGCTTGTGACCAAGGAAGGCGTGCGCGTCAGTTGGACCAGTACGGACAGCAGAAGGTGCTGAGCGGAGACCGAACAGGTTTTTCAATGTGAAGACAACAACAACAATCTGCCACCACAGACCATCAAAGACGAAGAGGACTGCCACATCACGTGAGTACATTTGTCGGAACTCTCTCAACGCACGGACGGCTCCGACGCCGCCGCTATTCTGGGCGCGGCCATTACGTTTTCTGTATACATAGCAGTGCGCATACGAACTGAGCCAATGTATGAAATGCGGTCCTGGGGGTGTGGTGTCTCATGTCACGTCAACAACGGCAGCACGGCAGCTGCATTGGTTGATCGATTGTGTGACGGCTGACTTGGTGCAACTTGAAGGTTTTTGGTTGCTGCCTTATTTTCATTTCGGATGAAAACCCGAAGAGCTATTATAGCTACAATACTTCTGCTTCCTCATTTCTTCGAGAGCCTCACGCATGAGATGCGTCATGGATCCCCGTCCATCGAGACCCTCATTCTGCCCTGCCACACCTCTCTCTCAACCCAAACTACGTACCCACGTCTCCCGCTGCCCCATGTCATCGGCATGTGTGGATGCTGCTGTTGTATCTGCATGATGTAGCGAATCCATCACCGATATATATTTCAGAGTTCAGAATCGAGAGCGAATCTTCCCGAGGGATGTCGGTGAAGCACAAACAGCCAATACTCGGGGAGCACGAGCATAGCATTGTAGAATCGGGGCAACGGCCTCCGTCACATTGAGGCTCCACCCCCCCCCCCAACAAGGTCACAGGACTAACAGGCACCATCAGCCCTTACAGACTGGCGGCGCACCTGAACAGATCGATGACAAGGCAGAACATGAAAACTTTCGTTCACACACATCCAGAGGCAGCTACCAGTTTTTTAGCTTTCTCTCTCTCTCTCTTCCTCTCTCTCTTACCGTCCCGAAACGCACCACCTCACGAATGGCATGATGGGGAAGTCTCATGGCTGTCGAGGTAGAGACGGCGTACGCGTGGTAAATTGCCTGCTGCTGCGTGCCAGCCCCTCTCTCGATGTACAGCTGTGTGCTGCTCGCTCGGGGCCGGCGGGGCTGGTTGGGGTTGGGGGGGCCGGCGCAAGAAATATCCTATAGATGGGGGCACCGTGAATCATCGAAATGTCGAGGGCGGGTGGAGCGAACGAGACGGAAGACAGCGTGGACAGCGCAGCGACCAACGAACCACGCACGCCGGTTTGTGTCACCAGAGGAAAGAGGGGAAGCCTCCGCAGTAACGAGCAGCGAGGATCGACCCGGAGAGTTGCCGGTTGCGACTGAGCATAGAAGAAAGCAAGAGATACCAGGTGCAAGGGGCAAGCAGGGACAGCAGGGAAGGAAGTGTGTGACTGGTTGGCGGAAATTGCTGCCGCAGCAAGGAGCAGCAGCAGATTTTACCGTGGCTCTGGCGAGATAAACGGAAGACTGCTTGCTTGGCGCCATTGGAGTGGACGGTGAGCCTGTTGGGCGCTTCGACTTGACAGGAGCAGCAGCAGTAGTGCAGGTGCTCCGGGCCAGAGCAGATGCTGTGTCTGTGCTCCTCCACGCACGCCGCATCCAAGCAAGAACGGTGAAAGCAACAATCGCCACGCCCAAGTGCTGGATACGGGCAGCTATGTGTCTGCGCAGCAGCAGCACATATTGTTGCTTCGTTGTTGGCATGACTGCTGTACTGTAGCCCTGAGCTGATAGCCCTTGCGTCCGACGCGTCACTAACTTCGAAGCGTTGTTGTCGTTGTCGAAAAAGTTCCCAAACACCGCAAAACCGTCTGGAAATTGCAATGGAAATGGGATCACGGAGGGTTTGATTTGGCACACGCGGCGGTTGTGTTGCATCCAGCCGTAGCCGCGCCGGCAGCTTCACAGCTGGGATGTGCTTTCCCCACGAATCCCCATCCTCATGCAGTGCAAAGACGCCCTTGCAGCGATGACACAATCAAGGTTTTATTGAGCCATCACCTCTGAGAGCAGTTTTTCGTTTATTTCAAATGTCGGGATTCTGCTGTACGTGCGGCGTGTGCGCCACGTTTTTGCCGCCCCCACGTTGGGTATTGTATTACGGGCGTCTAGCCCACCCTAGCCAATCTCCGACCGCTTGCCGTGTGTGCCCCCCATCCCTCTGTGGCACGCCATCCCGTCCCTTTGCGTTTGCCGCGCGGTGTTCGTCCCCTGTCCCTACCTTTGAGTTTCTCTAGCCGATGATGCGGGTGGATTTTATTTACCTCTCACGACATACAAAGGCAGTGGCACACCTCAATTCCCTGCTTGCTGCGGAGCAAACCCTCACAAGTACAAAGTCACCGGTGTCTTTTTTCGTCACTTTTGTGACGAACGCTCTCTCTCTTTTCGCAGACCGACAGAGAGGGTTATCGTTTTTTCCCATCCGGGTGATATACCCCCTACACCACCCTGGCATTCCCGCTTGCATCCTACTGTAGCGCAGCGTTGGGGCCCAGTGTCGTGGTTTTTGGAGAACGAACCTGGTGTCATCCGTCTGGAGAGAGGTCACTTTTTCGCGTGTGCGGCGCATGACGCTCTACCCACAGCACGAAATGGCGGTTGTGTCGTACATTGTACATTCATCCGTGACACGCTACTGCTGTGCTTCATATTTTGCAAATGCTGCTGCCAAACCTACAGCGCTCAATGCTCGAGAATATCGTTGTCGGATTGGAGGCGTGTCTCCCTCCCGTCTACATCTACGTGTATGTCATTGAGTTTGCGGTGGATCTCGTTCCGGTTCACATGTACGTTAATCACAAACCATAAAATGAGATAAGACTCTTTTCTCAGGTAGGATGGATTTTTCAGGTCATATTTCGAAAAATAAACAAATAAAATAAAGTGAAAGGAGGCGTGTCGGCTGAGCATGCTTAACACGTTGATGACAGAAAATAAGTTGGCTGTGTTTTTCTTCTCAAAAACCAATATCAAAACCGAAAGACACTATGAACTCGTTGCTCATCTCTTAGTCTCGTTTCTTCAAGGTAGAGTGGATTCGTTGGGTCTTATGCATACAAAGAAAATACTAAGGAAACAAAAAACCTTGTCAACGCCAACACTACCCCACCAAAATTCGATAAAACTGTCGGGTTTGGTTTGCGTATGTACGACAGTGGTGCATGTCCGTCCGCTTCTGCCGGGTGTTGGCGCATTCCACCGACAGAAAAAAAATGCCCCTGGCAACAACCAGGAGGACATCCTGGCAGTGAAGGCCCTAGGTCAAAGAGGCTCGAAGCGTACGAGCTTGGCCAATAGAGACAGGTGCTCGGTGAAGAATAATAAATACACGGTCGCTGTTTGGCTAGCCTTAGGAGTCGACCACAGCCACGTGTGCTCAGTTCATTAAGCATTCGTACACCCAACCCAATGCATATGAAGTCACGGACTGTTGGGGTACCTCTCAAAGGAAATTGTGCTGGTTGAAACGAGCCCCGACCAAAGCAAGAGCTTTTCCCCCTATCCAAGTGGTATGATAACGCCCTTGGTACATTGTACGAAGGGTGGGTCATGAATACAAGATCAAGATGAAGATACGAAAACGTCCTGGGTGATTGATTCTGGGTGATGCCCATGTACACCGAAAGGCAAGAGTTGATGGAACGAGCACTCACCCGCCCCACGTACATGCCCACAATTTTTCTCCCACTGCTTGAAGTCGATCGTTACTTCTGGTGCGCGCGACGTCAGGCCTGGCGTTGTCTTGGCTTGGTGAGCGGTGACTGGAAGAAGTTGACAGCAATTTATTCTTCTGGTTGCAGCGGGACTTGTGGACGCCGAAATCAACGACCGAGCTCTCGGGAGGCCGCGAGATGTCTACCGTCAGCGATCTCGACGAACAGGTGCGGTGAATTGAATCCACAGAGCGCCTGTCGCTGCCGGTTAGGCTCCGAAGTTATCGATCAGCGTGTTGGCCGTCGCGGGTGTATTGGCTGTACGTGCTTCGGCCCTATCAGCAGTGTTGAAGGAGTGGTTTTGGCCGATGTTCTTCCTAGATAGACACCAAGGGCGACGCGATGTTGACCGTTGGCGAACTCAACCGGAGGATCGAGGGAATATGTGTTATGCATACAGTAAGCCGTTACAAGGCGTTTGGGGGTTAGACCCTGCCACATGCCCTTGTTTCAATAGCCTACCGCAGCACCTACGATGTTGATATACGGTATGCCATGTGTTGCGATTTGCTGTTGCTGTCGCCTGCTGTTGCTGCTGGCGGTGTTGGTGTTTCTCTTGCGAATCAGCTCATCATCGCAATCTCATCAAGGAAGAACCTAGCCCGTCATTTCCAGCAAATCAAAGGCAGGTTAGCGGCCCAAAGTGGAAAGAAGAGTAGCTTCTGCTTGCTGCCTGCAGCGCTTCTGTGCTGTCGACTCAAGCACGGGCTTGACGAATCGAACCCGAAGGTAGCTATAGCAGGCCAAGAGCGGACAATATTGCAGCCGTTGTTATGTTTCTTTAAGGTAGACCATTCTCGACCGGTGTGTGGGTTGACACCCCTTTTCTTGCCGCCGGCTGTGTCGACACCCCGCGCCGAATGACACCGCGCCTAACCGCTGCCACGATCAAGCCGACCCCTTGGCTGTAACCCTGGGTCAACTAGCACGTCGATTGACACAGCAGCTGCTTGGAATATTGTTTTTTCGTGATAAGGCCGTTGACTCGTCAAGCATTGAGGTTTGGTGCTTTCGGCGGGGGGCACGGCTCGCCGAAGGGAAGGGTACCATTAGGTGGGGGCTGGCGGTGGGAATAACTGTGCTGATGTATCTCACTCTCTCTCTCTCTCTCTCTCTCTCTCGCTCTCTCTCTCTCTCTCGACGGTGTGATGGTCACCGTCCCGTCTGAAGGCTCGTTTGGGTGGAGAAGTCAGTCTTTCTGTCCAAGATGTTCTGACATTACAACACATGACGTTTTGATGGCCTTTTCCTTGACCTCTCTCTGTTTCTCTCTCTCAATCTCTCTCTCTCTGGCCGTGTGTGCTGGTGCTGTAGATCGAGCGTCTGAAGCGATGCGAGTACCTGAAGGAGAGCGAGGTGAAACAGCTCTGTCAAAAGGCCAGAGAAATCTTGGTCGACGAGAGCAACGTGCAGAGGGTCGATGCACCTGTCACAGTGAGTATACAGTACAGTACAGTAGCCGGTAGCCCCGGTGGTCTTGCGGGTAGCCTCGCAGCCTGCTAAGGGCCAGGTCATGGGTTCGAGTCCCGACAGAGTGAGTTTTTCCTCGCTAATTAAATCCGGGTCTCCGTTGGAAGCGACGCGCTGCAAAGTTCGTTGTTGGTAAACTTGAGAGACTTCATAAGTCGCGAGGGAAGGGATTGCTGTACCCTTCTTGCGATAAAAATATCTCAGGCAGGAACCGCAGGAAGGGGTCCAACCCCCCCCTCCTATGTGGCCCCGGTTGGGTCGTGTAGCTGGTAGGAGTGGAGGATAGGGGCCAGAGGGGCAGACGACAGAGTCCAATGATGGGTGACAAAAAGAAAAAAGTAGTGTCAATGAGAGAGGGTCGAAGAGCCTGTCATTGTGGGTACACCACATGCAGTGTACAAGTACAGAATAGTAGAGTCAAAGAATCAGATGGTCGATGCACCTGTCACATTGAGTATTTAGCATACAAAAAAACGACAGTTTTTCTCGCCTAGTACGAAGCGTTTTAGCGTTGACGGGTGATCATCGTACGACTGCTCTCATGTGATGCGGAGAACCTGCGAGAAGCGTATGTGTACATTAGACATCCTTATAAAATATGGAAGCAACGAACGGGCGACAATACGAGAGTACGTCGCAAACGTCCACACGGTCACGCTCACGATGTATCTGGTGGATCGTCGCATGCTCTTGTTGCTCACCTTGCTGAGTCCAAATATACAGTGTGTGCGTCACTGTAGGCATGCTGAGATGTCGGCTGTTAATGCTGACCATTTCCGGACTCCTCCCGCTGCCACAGTACTGCCTCATCATCCGTTGTTTTTTTCACAAGCTGCCAATGTCACCACTATCCACCATGCCCACGGATGATAATGCGTCCAGGACGAAAAAGAGAAGAATTCGA